CCGGTATGCTTTCGCTACACTCCACATACATGGGGCCCTATACTGGGACAGAAGCCTTCTAACCGCTAATGGAAAGGACATTAAGAATAAGGAAGAGATCCTGACTCTGCTCGACGCTGTCTGGAGCCCCATGGAGGTAGCAATCGTGCACTGCTATGGGCACCAGAAGGAAGACACCCCACAGGCTCGAGGAAATAGACTGGCTGATGAGACTACCAGACGAGCAGCCAGGTGGTAAGCTACTAGTGCCTGGAAGGATGGCCCCCTATCTGGTGAGCCCAGCTCATCATATGACTCACCTAGGACATGACAAACTGGAGGAATTGATCCGAAGGTATTTTCTGGTTCCTCGCCTCTCCTTTCTATGTAGAACGGAATCCCGAAATTGTAATGCCTGCTCTCAGATTAACGCCACGCCAGGGTGCAGACCAAAACCCCCAGGCATCCAATTAAAAGGTACCCTTCCTTTTGAACATCTGGAAGTGAACTTCGCTGCGATGAAACCATATCACCATTTTTGTTACCTGTTGGTCTTGGTATGTACATTCTCGGGATGGGTCGAGGACTTCCCCACCCGAACTGAAAGAGCATCAGAAGTGGCTCAGAGCCTGCTTAGGGAGATAGTTCCTCGATTTGGATTCCCCACTAGCATAGGATCAGATAACGGCCCAGCCTTCATATTGGATCTGATACAACAAGTAAGTAAAGCCATGAATGTAAAATGGAAGTTACACACTGCCTACTGGCCTCAGAGCTCCGGAATGGTAGAACGAATTAACCGGACACCAAAGGAGACACTTTCTAAATGGATTATAGAGACTGACTGTTCCTGGGTGGATTTACTTCCCATGGCCTTGCTCAAACTCAGGATGACCCCACAGTCCTACGGCTACTCTCCCTACGAAATTGTGTATGGGAGGCCTCCTCCCATAATAAGACAGGTAACAACTGATATACTGCAGGTAGGAGGAGACGGGATATCGCAGCAGTTGCAACAATTAGGTAAGGTAATTAATCAAGTAACTAAGTTTGTGCAAGAAAGAATACCGTTTCCCTTGGGGGAGCAAATGCATGAGTTTATACCAGGGGACCAGGTATGGGTGAAAGACTGGAAACATGACTCACTAACCCCCGGTGGAAAGGTCCTTATACTGTTGTTTTAACCACCCCTACAGCAGTTAAAGTTGCAGGCATTGCCCCTTGGATCCATCACACCAGAGTGAAGAAGGCATACCACGCTGACTCAAAAGACGCTGAGTGGACCACCCAGAAGGACCTCACCGACCCACGGGGAACCAAGATCATTCTGAGGAGGAAGAAGAGAACGAGGTCCTGGACTATCCCTCTACAGGATGGAGCTGGGTAAACGACTCCTGCTGCTCGGCCTCACCAACGCAATTCTGAACCTGGCCACTGTTCCTGCACAGGACAAGGTCTTCATCTCGTGGGCACATTCTTACGCGAACTAACACAACTCCTCCAACTGTTGGGTATGTGGGGCTATGCCCCTGTCAGTAATGAATGGACTCCCCTGGTGGGTATCGCCACCCCGTTATGAGGACTTTATACCACTGTGCTCCTTCTTAGAGTAACAGGAAGGAACTTTCCTTTCTCTCACCAATCATAAGCTTTCTTTGCTCTCCTGGTGTAAGAAGAAGCCATCAATGGGCCAGGGACATAGGGTTACATTTAACATGAACACCAGCCTTACAGAAGTAACAAAGGCTTATATCTCATATATGGAAAATAAAAAGGAGAAGGGCTCTCTTACAAAAGGAGGACAGGCCTCCCGGTACCTTGAGCAATACTACTAGGACTGGGATGACTATTTCTGGATGACTCCTGAGAAAGGACAGTTGATTACCCCTGCTACTGTTTGTTGGGAACAAAAAGAACAGGAAGTTGGATTTGGAGACCACCCCATAGACCCAAAAGAATTAAAATATATGGGTTATTTGTCCCTTGAACAATGTAAACAAATCTTGGGAGTTACCTATCACCCCAATCAGTCCGCTCAGTGGCCCGATTCCGACTGGAAATATAATCCTGGAATCTGCTGGGTAGCCCCCAGTGGGACCCAGTGGCTCTGTGGGCTTAATTTATGGCCATGGTTACCAGTTGGCTGGGTGGGGCATTGCACATTATGATTTGCTCTCACCCATGGCAGTATTAAGCCTAGCCTACACCAGCCTCCAGTAAACCTGCCTTATCTGCATGCAAGATGGACACGATCCGTGTTCCAATGGTATGACTATCTTGCTGCCTTGTTGGTACCCTCTGTAGGGACAACGGATATCATGGTTAAGGTAGAGGCCTTAACTAATTTCACTAAACAGGCCCTCTTAGACAGTTCTAAAGCCATTCAAGCTTTGAACGAAGAACAGATTCAGGTGAGGAAGGCAGTAATTCAAAATAGGATGGCATTAGACATACTCACAGCAGCCCAAGGAGGGACTTGCGCCGTAATTAAAGTCGAATGTTGTGTGTACGTCCCTGACCTGTCTGGAAATGTATCTACTGCCTTGGAGGATATGCGAAATCAAGTGAAAGCCATGTCTAATGAAAATATTCCCTTTTGGACTTCAGTCCTCTCCTGGGTGAAGGGAGATGGTGGGAAACTGTTGTAACTGTTGTTATAGTAATCTTAATCATACTGCTTTGGGGCCCTGCTTCCTACAGTGCCTTGTGAATTTTGTAACCCAGAGGTTGATAGCATTCTCTCATGTGGGTGGCAGGAGGGCTAAGGTACAATATATCCCAACAAATGATGCTCCTTACGGAAACTAAGAGCATCAAGAGGGGGGAATGAAGAAGGAATTCATAGGGCCAGGACTCCATCTCAGGCCTATCTGTGCTGATCATGCTCGGCGGCCTCTCCAGTGGACTCTGAACTCTCTGCTTAGTGCCTGTGGGAACGACAATGGAAGGATAACACCCCCTCCGGACAGGGGAATCTTGAAGATCACACATCCTGGTTACTTATTGCCTAAGAGGAAACACACCGTAATCACCCCTGTCTCCCGACAGGTCATAAATTTTTTTCGTATCTATTGGAATGTAATCATAGGCTTATCGATTATTAACTGGTTGGAACGTGACCACAAGCTTATTGATTATTAACTGTTTGGAATGTAACTGCGGGCTTATTGATTATTGACTGTTTGAACACGTAACATGTAAATGATGGGGTTATTGTAGTTGTATTTACCCTTCCTTTGTTTATGTAAGTCTCAAGGAAACTGGGGTGGTGTGTTTGGACATGTACACATGGGGTATAAAAGATTTTCACAAATGCTGGTCGGGGTCCTTGGCTAAGAGGAGACTCTGCCTTGGGTCCGCCGATGTAATAAACTGCACTCCACTATCTGCATAGTCCCTCTGAGTGAGTTTGTTTCCCGGAGAGCGTGGCTATAACACTGAAGACCCCAGCGAGGCTGAGATTTGCTTTAGGCTGGGAAGTACAGTACAAAGCGGAGGTGCTTCTGGCAACGTCCCTGCATTCTTACCTTTAATTGATTGTAGTTGATTTACAGTATTGTGTTAGTTTTAGGTGTACAGCAAAGTGATTCAGTTATATATTTCAGATAATAAGAATAAATATATATATATTTCAGATAATATAAGAATCTGAAATATATATATATTCTTTTCCATTATAGGTTATTACAAGATGTTAAGTGTAGTTCCCTGTACTATACAGTAAATCCTTGCTGTTTCTCTATTTTGTATATAATAGTATCTGTTAATCCCATTAGTAACCATAAGTTTGTTTTTTATGTCTATATTTCTGTCTTATAAATAAGTTCATTTGTATCATTTTTTTAGATTCCACATATAAGTGGTAGCATCTGATATTTGTCTTTCTCTGACTCACTACACTTAATATGACAATCTCTAGTCCATCCATGTTGCTGCCAAGTGTCATTATTTCATTCTTTGTTTTGGATAAGTAATATTCCATTATATCTATATATATTACCATATATGTATATGTATCACTTCTTCATCCATTCATCTCTTGATGCACACTTATGTTGCTTTCATGTCTTGGCTATTGTAAATAGTGCTGCTATGAACATTGGGGTGCATGTGTCTTTTTGAATTAGAGTTTTCATCTTTTCTGGGTATATGCCCAGGAGTGGGGTTGAACTCCAGCATTCCTGAATATACCATTTCCATTTGAAGAGCTAGGCTTTTTGGTCCTTCCTTCCTTGTAAATCAGGACTGAACTATTTGCCCAGCAAAATGGTCTCCCACTCACACATTTTCATATCACTCACAGGGAAGCAAAACCCAACACAAAACCCAGTGTGATTCCTTAATTCCTCTGGGAATTTCAGGTGCTATATTATTTTTTTAAATATTTATTTATTTGGCTGCACTAGGTCTTAGTTGTGGCTGTCTGGATCTTTGATCTTCATTGCAGCATGCAGGGTCTTTAGTTGCAGCAGCTAGTCCCCTGACCAAGGATCAAACCCGGGTCCCCTGCATTGGGAGCGTGGAGTCTTAGCCACTGGACCACCAGACAGATCAGGCACCTGGGCATTATAGTCCCTCAGGCATTTATTAAATATAAGTGAGAGGGTTTTATTACAATTGCAAGAGTACAGAGATTATTTAATGGCAACTCTCCACATCAAAGTTGAGAATGCCTCCTGAATTGGGCACAGTATATTATCCATATGCACATTTGAATTTACATGAAAATACTTGAAAATGGAATAAGTTGATATATAACCACAACAATAATCATTCAGTCTAAGGCATCAGTGGGAGTTTATTTTCTAATTTTTAAAAAAATTTTCAAGAGGGTCATCTCCTATAGTCTCCCAGAGTAAAATATAGCTCAGAATCAACCTCACACTGCTACACTGGTAGTTAAGAAATTTGCCCCAGTCTTGTGAACTAATGTCTGAAAAAATACTTGAAAATTACTGATATATAAGTTTTTGAAAATTGTATTTACAGCTCTAAGTAATTAACTTTATTATATTTTTAAGAAAAAAAGAAAGGTCGTTCCTGGACAAGAATAAAAGCAAAATCGAGAAACATACATCGAAAAGGTAAGCAGCGAAGTGAAGTAGTCATACCTGTTTAGTTCATAAGACACGGCTTATCGTATTCCTGCAGTCTCTTGAGGACAATAATAGTTTTCTAGCTAATGTGTCAGTTAGGATACAGGCCAAGACACTGTAATAGAGACTGCCGTATATACTGGCTTCAACAAAATGGTTTATATTTCACGTGTGCAGTAGTGCAGAGCTAAATGGTACAGACACTGTTGTCCTCAATATATGGCTTCTTTCCTAGGTCAAGAAATTATTATTAATTTGGAGAGATGTTCCAAAGGAGCCTAAATGAACAAAGCAGACTATATGTGTATGTGTGTGCAAGTATGTGTGTGTTAAATATATGTATAAGCATGATGTGTCTTTATACCTCTATAAATCCTTATTTATACATATTTATCAATCTATATATATAGAGAGAGACAGATATAGATACATGGAAAAATTAATGTCAGTACATCCAAAAAAACATATGCAGTAGTCATTGGAATATAGGTGATGTTTATATTTTTATGTTTTTTAAAGTTATATGTATAAATTCAAAATATTAAACATGTTCAACTATTGTAATGGAAAAGTGTTATTTAAACAGCAAAATGTGCAAAAAGAAAGGTCTAATGGCATGTTTTTGAACAAGATAACTGTGGCTTTCTCCAGATGGTGATATTTCAAGCAATTTTTATTTTCTGAGTTTTCAGTAATGTGTATGTATTACTTCTCATCGGACCCATGAAATCTTGTTTATTTTAGTAGCAATTTAAGGAACACTCTTCCTCTAGACAATGAGGACTGGACTTCATTTTCTACGTGATTTCCAGGTTTTTTTGGGCCACACCCTGTGTCATATGGGATCTTGCTCTCCTGACCAGGGATCAAACCCACAGCTGCTGCATTAGAAGCTTGAAGTCTTAACTACTGGACTGCCAGGGAAGTCCCTGATTTCCAATATTTGAGTCAGTAGATCTATGTAAGATTTTAGAGTCCAGTGAAAATTTATTATTTGTCACCAATCTATATATCTTATGTTCCAGCCAATTTCTGTGGCTGCCCTATTAGTGGGATGTGTATAATATTGTTCAAAAAAAAAAAAAGTGGTTGCATCCATTTTAAGAATAATTTATTTTCAAAATACTAAATATTTGTATTTAATCCTTTTAATATTTTCATATAGGTCTTTGTGTCCACAGATCAATTCTAAACCACATTTCCCCTAAGTATAATGAAATCTTGTACATAATCTAAAAGTCGTCCCTCATAAATAGAAAATGCTCTGGACACCTGCTTGAGATCCCTTGCCATAACTTTCTTTCTTGTCTGAGTGCACAGTTCAGGGGGTTCAGAATTAAAACCAGTACTCATTGCTTTTCTTTTTGGATACTTCTGAATTGAACTTTTTGTTTTCAATACATGGTCAATGGTAGATTGATACGTTTTAATGTATTTTTACAATTAGACAGCCGTAAGGTATGGTAGCTTGTAATATACAACTTACAGAGCACTTTTGAAAAACTTTAACACTTGACCTTCACAACAACTCTGTGATGAGACAGAACAACAGTAGTAGATCTGTGTTATGGAGGAAGAGACAGAGAGTTAAACAGATTTTCATGGGTTTCTGGCTCCTAGTTTGTATTTTTCCCACTGTCTTATACTCTCTCTCATAACATTGCTCGCTTGCTTTTCATCTCACATGTCAACTGTTTTTGCATAACTCTGTATTTTCCCCTGCCTAGCCCTAGACAACAGCGAAACTGCTGACCAGCCAGCCCCAAGTGAAAAGATGGTGAAAATGCGTCTGCAGGACCCTGTCAAGATCAGGAGTAAGACTGTGACACTTCTATTTTGCCCTGAAGGATCAACAGAAATTTTGCTACGCTTTTGAGGAAGACAGATCTTCCCCTGCACATTTTTTTTCTAGTCAAGCTTACCAGTCAATTTCACAGCCATGAAACCTAGAAAGCAAACCCATTTGAAGCCAGCTTTATAAATCATTTGCATTTATACCATAGCTCTTATCTGCCCAGGATCTAATTTTTTTTCCTCTGAGTTTTATCTGTTTTCACAAAAATTCCTTTATCTCACATCTTTGGTTTATTAAAATGGCTAGACTTTATAAATTGTAAGTAGAAACAAGTTCATTCTTTCATTGCCCTTTCAAATCAATCTTCTATTAAGTTTTTCTGTTTGGGAGCAGGTCATAGAGCTTTCATGTTCCCTTTTCACAGGAATAAGAGTCTTTTCCAGTTATTGAGGGTCCTTTCTAGCCTGGTATTAAGACTAGTTTTTTCTCCAGTTCAAAGCACCTCCACTCTTTCCTCCAGAGTAAGCTTGGTCTGTAATACCTATAGTGAAGAGGCGGCATAGCTGAGGTCTTTTCTCACTCTCTCTTGGCTCTGTTCTCGCTTAGGAACTTCTAGTCTGAGTCATTCAGGATTGGGAAAGTGGATGAGAGAGGAGAGATCAGATGTGGTAGCATCTTACCCGGCAGGCACAGCTGTGAGTTGACACTGTGGAGAAAAGCCCACAGTCACTAGCTCTTTTCTCCATATGGTGCTTTCATCAACTTGACAGTGAGGGAAGAGGTGAGGTCAGGCCCCCAGCTTGAAGTTTTGGGAAAGAAATATAGTCTGTATATGAATGAAGATTTAGAACCTCCATAACCTATTCCACTGAAACTTTGGATGTCACCTACCTGGTTCAGTCCATTGCCTTCAGATGTGGGCATCTTCCTGCTTGGAAGTAGGGCAACCAACTCCACCTGGTTTGCTGAGGACCTTCCAAGTTCTGCCACTTTAAGTCCTACATCCTGGGTACCCCTTAGTCCCAAACAGACCGGGGCACTTGGTCATACTTTTTGGCACTTAGTGAATTGTTCTCAACTTTTGGGACTTAGTACTACTAACATTTTGAGAAAACAGTATTAAATTAAAAATTGTCACATTTACTTCTAGAGGTTAATACCAACCACTTGGTTTGTTGCCGTTTAGTCTCTAAGTGAGACTGTTTGGCAACCACATGGATGTAGCCCGCCAGGCTCCGCTGTCCATGGGATTTCTAAGGCAACAACACTGGAGTGGGTTGCTATTTCCTTCTCCAGGGGATCTTCCTAGCCCAGGGATTGAACCCATGTCTCATGCATTGCAAGCAGATTCTTTACCACTGAGCCACCAAGGAAGCCAATACCAACCATAACAATTAAAAAAATATATATTCTTAGATTATAATCTCCCATCCAAGTACTAACCAGTCCTGACCTTGCTTAGTAAGATCAGATGTGTTCAGACTGGTATGACTATAGACCTAGATTATAATCTGACTGCTATAGTATGTATTAGGGTTTGTTACAGAGCTTCAGTGTTATTAAATGGGTACTATACCCTGGGGACATAGAAATAGTTAAATCCTGCCTTGATCAGCCAATCAGTTTTGAAAGTAAAATACAATAGTGTTATATTATGAAGCAGTGGGTTTTAAGCTCAAAATTTCCTTTTACCAGAAGCTCCAAAAACTAGAATGGACTGCAGTGTATTTTATTGTTCTCCTTACAGATAGTAGGCTAACAGATTTGATGGCTTCTCTGGTGGTTCGAGTGGTAAAAAAAAATCCACTTACCAATGCAGGAGACATAAGACTTGGGTTCGATCCCTGGCTGGGGAAGATCCCCTGGAGGAGAGCATGGCAACCCACTCCAGTACTCTTGCCTGGAGAATCCCATGGACAGAGGAGCCTGGTGGGCTACAGTACATAGGGTTGCAAAGAATAGGACTTGACTGAAGCGACTTACACACACACACACACACACACACACACACGCATGCACAACTACAACACACCCATTACCCAGGAAAGACATAACCAAAGAGTGGCAGACAGAGAGAAGGAAAGATCTCTACAGTTGCTGGACTGTCCAAGGTTGTCATTAGAGCTTTAGTGCCAAGCTGAGCTGGAATACAGAAGAGGCAAAAATGAGATGTCTGGATTTCTTCTCTCTGGTCTGTGAGCATGGACCTTTAGAAGAGGAGGGAGGAATGAGAAAGAGGGCCAGAAATATCCTGGTTTTCTAGGATATCACTTTGTCATCTTAAGGGCTTCCCTGGTGGCTCAGACAGGAAAGAGTCTACCTGCAATGAGGGAGACCCAGGTTCAATCCCTGGTCCAGGAAGATGCCCTGGAGGAGGAAATGGCAACCCACTCCAGTATTCTTGCCTGGGAAATCCCATGGATGAAGGAGACTGGCATGCTACAGTCTATGAGGTCACAAAGAGTTGGACACAACTGAGCAACTTCACTTTCTTTCTTTCTTTCTTTCTTTGGCATCTTGGGTGAGCAAGGAGGTGAGGAGTGCCTTGAGAGCCATACCTGGCTGGATGGCCTTTTGCTGTGTGGTGGACTCACCTTCCAAAGGGAGAAACTAAGAGGAAGTCAAAAGATTAATCCACCTCTTTAAGAACCACATTTCTTTTTAGTGGTTCTCCCTGGCCCATGGCTATTACTTTTCTTCTATTGGGTGGTCAAAAAGTTCATTCAAGATTTTCTGTACTTTTAAAACCCAGACGAACTTTTTTGGCCAACCCAATACTTACTTTTTTTTTTTTTTTCCATTTATTTTTATTAGTTGGAGGCTAATTACTTTACAACATTATCCATGTCCTGGCTATTATAAACAGTGCTGCGATGAACATTGGGGTGCACGTGTCTCTTTCAGATCTGGTTTCCTCGGTGTGTATGCCCAGAAGTCTTTCTTACACAGTTTATAAATCTCTGTAGGCCTCTTCCTTGAGCTCATATTACCCTGTTAAGTAATAACAGGGTGACAACTTGCAAGGTTGTTATAAGTTTGAGACCTTCTGATAAAGTCTAACCATCAAGATTTGTCCCATAGGGCCATTTTGATCTTGAGGAATTGAAAATCCTCTCAGTAACTGTTTAGTCTTAAGACCAGAAAGTAAGATTATTCTGCCAACCAATGGATCCACTTTGGGTTTGATTGAAGGAAAGAGTCTTTTTACTTTGCTGGTCTGATATATGCTCATAGTCTGCTTAGAGTTTATAGCACTTAGGAAGGAGTAGTCTGGAAAATATTTCTTCTTGGAGTCTGAATTACCCTTCCCACCAGATGGTGGTCATTGGATGGTAAGCACTGAACTCAGAAAGAAGGAAATGAATTTATCTTCCTACCTTAGAAGCAAAGAACATGTGAATGATAGCAAACTTTGAGATACATATCCACAGCCAATTAACTTGTCAATGGCAGGACATTCTCTGCTGCAATATTTACTGAGTCCATTCTTAGTTACTATGTGAAATCAAGGTTTTGGAGGACTCAAATCAACCCATTCCTCTTGGTTAGCATTCTTGTTCTTAGTTTCTTAGATTCCAATATCTTTGTTTAAGCTCAGGTGGACAAAACTCTTGGTTACATTACTAACACTTTCAATACAAATGTACAAATAGCTTCATTCCAGGTGATGTGTATGACATGTATCTCACCTGCAAAGCCTGCCATAAGCTTCCTTATAACTCATTTCCCTTAATTGTGCATTAGTAGATGTACAATTGGCGTCTATTAAACAGTTAATATATGGTTGCTTGGGATATAAGTAAAATGCTGATATCAATTTCTTGTTTGTTTTACTAATGTGCAACAATGAAAAGTAAAATATAAGTCTAAGATTTGCCATCTAATTCTTGGTAGCTTAAAGACTAGGAATGATATATTTTTCTTTGTGCATTAGACAAGCTTCTGGGAAATTATATTTCAGTGGAAATTCTGAAAAGCATTAATAGATGCAACGCAACTGCATGTCTGTGACTACGATTCTGTTTTTCTATTTCCTCAGGGAAAAAGAGCGGCAGACCTAGACTCCACTTTACTAATAATGACAGAACCCCACAGAGAAGAGCTAGGACAAGAGGTAAGGAAGAAAAAGGAAGTATTGTCTCAATAATTAGGCAGCTAATTTCCTGTTTTGCACTCTGTTTTTATTGTTAAATCTATCTCCCTAATTGTTTTATGCAGCTTTACTAACAGAAAGAGTTTATAATTTGGTTCAAAATGTGCCTGGATGAAAAAGAAGATAATTTCACAAACAAGTAACTTGGTGACAGATCTAAACCAGGGCTATCACAATGATGCTCTCCCCACTGAACTGATCACTTTCAAGCTGGAAATAGTCTGTTTGCACATAAAGGGCACATATATAACCCACACATTATTTAACTGGCCCTTCTCTTGCTATACAGAGAGTCAGAGGTTGCACACCATGGATAGCCTAGAGTGGTGGTCAGAAGTCTATCATCCTCTTCTGATTGTGTGGGCTTGGGCCTGTCACTTGACTGCTTTCCCTTCAGTTTCTTCATCTGTAAAGTAAGAGGGTGAATTAGGCCAACCATCCTTCTCAGCCCATCCCAATTCTCCTAGTCTACTATCTCAAAACTGGACCATGGACAGCTCCCCCTCCTCCCATCATGGCTCTAAAACATTGACTGCAGGGTCAAGATCAGTTACACAGCCTCCTTGGGCTAGTTTATTCAAAGACCTTTCACCCCCACTTCTGTGGACTCAGTCTCCAGCAGCCCTTTCCCCATGTAACTTGCAGATTATCCTAGAGCTTCCTGAACTTCTCTTTTAGCTAAAGAGAGTGCTGATAAAAGAAAGAAGCATGAAACAAAGCAGAGAACCCAAAGAGAAGGCAGACATCACTTCCATTATGTTCCCCATCACTGCCCTCTCTGCTCACTCAGCCAGACCCGAAATAGAGAGATGCAAGTAGAGTCTCTCATTTTGCTCCAGCTACTTAACTGTTGTGAAATAGTTGGAGGATTCCCTTCAATGAAGAAAGAATTTTTTTTTTTTTTTGGCATGCAAGATCTTGGTTCCAGGACCGGGAATCAAACCTGTGCACCATGCATAGAGTCTTAACCATTAAACTGCCAGGGAAGTCCCATGGCTCCCTTCAGAATATGATGCAGCTGTACGCTTCATTGTTGTGTAAGAATCAGTGAGGCTGACTGGATTGGGAGCTAAGACAGTTTTATTGAGGCCTGATTTTTCTACTAACACATTCTGTTTTGTGTGAAACTTGAGGGATGAGTTAGAGGTAGATATTCTGTAGTTATATATAAAAAATGCCACTTGGAAGAAAGGCTTTGACTCTAGTGGTGGTGGTTTAGTCACTAAGTTGTGTCCGACTCTTGAGACCCCATGGACTGTGGCCTGCCAGGCTCCTCTATCCATGGTATTTCCCAGGCAAGAATATGGGAATGAGTTGCTATTTTCTTCTCCAGGGGATCTTCCTGATCCAGGGATCAAACCCATGTCTCCTGCATTAGCAGGTAGTCTCCTGCATTGCAGGTGGATTCTTTTCCAACTGAGCTACCAGGGAAGCCCTTGACTCTAGAGATTTGTGGTATAAAGCTTTCTACATCCTTTCATACATTTATAGGAACAAACTCAACATGGGAAAAGTGGTACAGATGTAACTGAAAATGAGACCATGAAGGAATCTTCTCTTTCAGGGAAAAGAAGGTACAGATATGAACATGTGAATTTTCACTCTCAGATAATTCCTGTGACCTGTGGTAAGGTGAAGGGGAAGTTATACAAGAAGAAATTGAAAGAAGGTGAGTTTTAAGGTCTACTATGCAATGCCTATCTGAAGGAGTCTTGAGAAATAATGGGATTACCTATGTGAATTACACATAGGTGAAGGTATGGTGGTGAAAGTATGCTTGAGAGAAGGAGGAAGGGATACCTAGGTTAATATTTTCATACTTAAGAAATCATACACAGTAGGTGCTCACTCCCACATGGACGTGTCCACAGGGAAGCCAACGCACCGAAGAGAAGTGAATCAGAAATAAAAGGAATGAGGCCCTCAGTCCCCACCTTCATGTCCTTTTTCCCTCGGGATGATCATCACCAGGGCAGGTGCTTGATGTAATGAGGACCAGCTCAGAATTCAGAATCAGATAACCTGAGTCCCAGCCTCTCCTGTGCCAAGAGGAACTGATTCATCTGAGTAGAGAATGGGACCTTTCTGAGCCTGAAATTCTTCATCTAAAAAAGAAATCATTAAATCCTGCTTCATGGTATAGCTGTGAGGAATTAATTTACATAATTGATATAAAGTATTAGTAAACAGCTGAGATACAATTCACCATCAGAGTGTACAATTCAACGCTGAATTTTGTTTGTATATTCACAAGATGGTGTAACTATCACCACAATCAAATTATAGAATATTTTTGTCAGAATACTTTCCCACTAAAGGAAACTCCATGTCTCTAAGTAATCAATGTCCAGTATCATACTCACCCCACCACCCAACCCTAAACTGGCTAATATATTTTCTGCTCCATAAATTGTCCTATTCTCTGTATTTCATGTAAATGGAATCAGGTAGGGTGTGCCATTTTGTGACTGGCTTTCTCTCTTATGATGATAATTTCAAGATTCATCCATGTAATGGCATGTATTAGTACTTTATTCTTTTTTATTGCCACATAATATAATATTCCATGGTATGGATATACCATATTTTGTTTAGCGATCCATCAGTTTGGATTGTTTCCACTCTTTTACTATTACGAATAATGCTATTTTGAACATTCATGTTCTAGTTTTTGTGTGAACAGCCTTTAATTCTTTTCAGTATATACCTAGGAGTGGAATTGCTGGTTCCTGTGATAATTCCATGTTTAACCCTACTGAGGAAATATCAAAATGTTTTCTACAGTGGCTGTAATATTTTATCTTCCCACCAGCAATGTATGAGAGTTCCAATTTCTCTGTTTCCATGCCAACACTTGTTATTGTCTAATTTTTCCAAGACAGCCATCTTAGTGGGTGTGAAATGGTATCTCATGGTTTGGCTGTGCTTTTCTCTAATGACTAATGACGCTAACATGTGATTATCTTTTATACATAACTTGAGTTTACCATTGGATAGCATTTCGCAATTACTTTTAATATCAGCTATCCACGGTTTGGGGAATGGGGAAATATCTGCTCAATAATGCCATTGAACTGGATAGGAAGTGTGATAAAGGGCTCAGATGCTGCTATGGTGCCATTCTGAGCCACAAGGCACCCGTCGGAGATCTCAGTCCCAACCTGAGTTTCTGCTCCCATGGGCCCAAGGTCCTCTCCCTGGCAAATTGAAATGCTCTCACACTTCAAAATCACTTGCTTTTCCTTTGTCGGTGATTTTGAAATACTTTTAAAGGGTTGATTTTAATGGTAATTATCATTTTTGTTGTTGTTGCACATTGGTTAAAGAAATGTTGCCACAAGGCAGTGAATCTCCTGTGCGGGGACTTGGAGGCTAGGTGTGGGGATTCTGAAGCCTGGAAAGGGAGGCCAGACTCTCCTGTTGTAGATCTTGAGCCTAAACTGGGTGTGTCCAGATCCAGTGTGGTGGGAGCCCACCTTCTGAAAACAAGGAAGGCTGAAGATGAATTTACCCTGGTCTTACAGGAGTCCGGGTGAAGTGTGTACAGAGTGAGAGCGGAGACTGGTTCACCCCCAGGGAATTTGAAATCAGAGGCGGCCACGAACGATCAAAGAACTGGAAGTTAAGCATTCGCTGCGGAGGGAGGCCCCTGCAATGGCTGATGCAGGTATTCTGGGGGCCGGGGCAGAAGACGTGACTTTCCTTGTCGTCCCCCAAGACTAAGGTCACTGTTTGCTCACCAAATATTTGTTCAGTCATTGCAAAAGCTCAGATGCCTCTGAGTTTATCCTCTCACCCAGGGAGAGTGTTCCACATTCCTAACCTCAGTACAACTTAGCACATCACTGCTGTGAAAGAGACAGAAAATTCCACTTCCATGTCAGGATGGAATAGGAGTTCAGAGAAGAGAAGGATCATTCTGACTCAGGTGAATGTAGTCAACTTTATGCACTGGAAGAAGACAGTTTACAATCAAACAGGTAGGAAGGAGGTATTCCAGAGAAAGAATGATGTGAAAACCAGAACCATGCCCAGTGGGTTGAGATAGACATACTGTGTATAATAAGGTATAATCCATCAATTCAATTGCAGTTGTTTGTAGAGGAATTTAATGCCAGGCTAAAGTGTTTAAACTCATAGACAATGCAGAATCAATGGCGTCTTCTGAGATATGATATGACATTTTTAGAATAGTGTTTTAGATGGCCGAGGGACCCTGAAACGACTCCAGAATCTTTTCAGCTCAAGAAACCTACACCCAACATGCAGTGCTCAACTCAAATGCCATTCTTCCCGGAATATTTCCTGACCAAATTGACCCTGGCCATTTCCTCCCTGGGCTTCCTGAGCCCATTACTAAGATCCTCTTATAGTTTTACTCTTATCCTTTCACATTGTTTTTTCTATGTCCATCTTTGTGTGTCCAAGATTGTTGAGAATGTCTGACACCCAGTAGGCATGGGATAAGTGTATATTGATTGACAAGCCTTGGTATATGGACTCAAGCTTGAGTGACTGGTAGAAATGGAGAGCGGGTGAGAGGTGTCAAAGAGATTATATAGGAAAACCTCGTAAAACTTAAGGGGAAAAGCACAAGAAGGGGGAAATGTTCTAAAGATGATTTTAAAAGTGTCACAGATTGAGTTCTAGAAGAAATACAAATGAGGAGAGGAAGATTGTTTCTCATTTAGATACCATGGCTTTGGGCTGACAGTGGGACATCCAGGTAGAAATATTTGGGAAGAGGTTGGAAGTGCCAGACTCACAGGCCAACCATATACTTGGATCTTTTTATCTTTCAGAGAAGATTTCTCCATAATCCTCCAAGGAAATATTACGGGAGAAGAAAGGTGATTATTACATAATTTTCTAGAAATTCTCATCACATAATTGATTTTGCATGCACAGTGTATTATTTTGTGGTTTCTCAACTGTGTAACACTCTGCTCTCACCTTTAAAAATCTTTTGGCATATGCCTTCAGTCTCACTTCTTTGAATACTATGTTGTTCTGAATGGCAAGGTCTTCTTGAATGGTAAACCATTTGAAATAGAAGTGATAAGGAGCCATCAGAATAGATCTCATGGATATGCTTTAGCTATAGATGTGGATGTTGTCAAAATTGTAAAGGCAAGCATGATTCTGGAGTATGTAAAAGTATATTATGATAGGGTGATAAGGTCATCTTCAAGTCAAATCCAAATTTTTTAAATCAGTGTTACTGTTTTCTAACTTTAATGAAATCTGATGGAATGAAAGTATGTTCACAGTCATTCAGAGAATCCCAGTCTAAGATCATCTATCTTGGTCCATATACCATTTTGTAATATAGGCAACAAGAAACATATTTCTTTTCTGATCATTTCACCCCTTAATAGTCTACACACAGACATACTCTTTTTCAGGGGACCATTGTTTGCCCTTCATGAAGATGGTGCTGTCAGATAGGAAGCTCTTGGGAGATCAGTGGATTGTATAGGAGGGGCTGGCCAAGAAAACTGGTTACTTTGATGCCACTCTTTTGCTGTGCAGACCTCCCTTCTGTCTATGAAAGTGATTCCTTCCTCTATGGAGACAATAAATATGTAAGACGCAGTGTAGATTCAGGACACGGAGATGGCTTTTCCAAGTTTTGGTATGAATGAGAACTTGAAGATGGAGGTGAGAAGTGCTGTTCTTATGTATTCCACATAGAAATGGCCATTCAAGGGACTTCCCTGACAGTGCAGTAATTAAGTGTACCTTTCCAGTGCAGGGGGCATGGGTTCAGTCCCTGGTTGGGAAACTAAGATTCCACATGCTGCATGGTGCAGACAAAATAATTATAAAAAAAGAAATGGCCAATCAAGACATTCACAGAACTTCTAAGATGGCTTACACATAGTTGGCCCATGGGACTTCATCTTCCACTGGGAATGTGAGATCCAGGATTTGACATTATCTGAGGTTCTGGACAGCTGGAATTCTAAGTCCTTGGGACATTTTACCTGCTGGATTTTCTAAGGAAAACTATTATTTGCCCTACTTAATATCCTGAAGACCAGCATCTGTATCATTCCCCAGGTGCCAAGAGTGACTCAGTTGGTTTACCCGAGTAAGCTGGCATCTTCCTAACAACAGATTCTACCCTTAGTCATGTGTACAACACTTTTTAGCAGCAACCTGCAGTTGCCTCTTCATTTCTCATCTCCCCATGCACAAGAGCAGATGTTCCCCGAATGGCAAACCTCAGGACCCATTACTACTTCCATGGGTCTTCTGTGTTTCTCAAAACCTCTTTTTTCCTTGGCTTTGGGACTCTTCAGTGTCACTCTCAGCACCACATGATGGCTTCCTGGCTCCTGACAAACGTCACTAACACCTTTTGATGACAATTGCAGTGTTGTAAAATAATTGTAGGAGATAGTGGAGGACAGAGGTGCCTGGCGTGCCACAGTCCATGGGATCGTGAAGAGTTGGATGTGATTTAGCAACTGTACAACAATATTCCTCTAGAACAATCTTTTTAATTTTGGGTAATATTTGCTTAAGAGATAGCAAGTAATCTCTTTTCCTAAGTGGAAAAAAATTATTAATTGCTCAGTTGTGTCTGACTTTTTGCAACCTCATGGACTGTAGCTCACCAGGCTCCTCTGTCCATGGGATTCTCTAGGCACAAATACTGGAGTGGGTTGCCATTTTCTCCACCAAGGGATTTTCTAAGTGAAATGATACTCATTTATTCACTCATCCAACATTCAATTATCGAATGCTCACTAAATGCCCAATGGTCTTTAGAAGATTAAAACAATATCCTTGACCTCAGGGATTGTTTCAACTTCATTGCCTAACATGGAAGAATAACTAAGAGGGTTATTGTTGTTTAGTTGCTAAGTTGTGTCCCTCTCTTGTGACCCCATGCACTGTAGCCCCATGCACCAGGCTCTTCTGTCCATGAGATTTCCTAGGCAAGAATACTGGAATGGGTTACCATTTCCTCCTTCAGTGGATCTTCTTGACCCAGGGATTGAACCCACGTCTCCTGCTTGGCAGGGATATTCTTTACCACTCAGCCACTTGGGAAGCAGTGAGTTTAGAATGGGCAATAGAAAGGTGGGCAGTGACATAGCCACCTCTCAGGTCATTGACCACTGGATTACACTTGTCCATGACCACTCTGCCCTGGGCTGGAGATCAAAGCTGAGGCTACCTGTGTCCTAGAGCAGTGGTCCCCAACCTTTTTGGCACCAGGCACTGGATTCGTGGAAGACAGTTTTTCCATGAACTGGAGAGGAGGGATGGTTTCCAGAGGATTCAAGTGCATTACATTTATTGTGCACTTTATTTCTATTATTATTATCTCAGCTCTATCTCAGAGCATCAGGCATTAGATCCCAGAGTTTGGGAACCCCTGCCCTAGAAGGTTAGAGGCCAGGTCATTCTATTGAATATTGGAAAGCAGTGTAAAGCTAGTGGGTGGTAGTCAGTTATCTTTGAAGAGCCAGCTAGCTGACTTCTTTGGATTCAGAGGGCGGGGAGAGAAGAGTGATCTTCTGGAAGAAGAGCTGCAGCCCTGGAAAGTTTGGGCACATTTTATCATTGAGGCTGTGCCCCAGGAGATCTGTGACAGGCAGTGGCATTCTCCTCTGGGATATTTGCATGAACTCCAGGACTCCGGGCCCCATGGTTACCTGGGTTGTTGATGATGAATCTTCAGGCTGATACTCTCACTGCAGCTCCTTCTGGTGGGATGGCATTTTATAATGTAGAGAAAAATGCCCAAGGGCCTCTTGAAGTAAGAAAACCAACAGAGCTCCTCCAACTCCATCTGTGGGAACCAGGGCTAAAGTCCCCAGATGGCTCCACCTTGCATCTAAGAGCCAGGGAATAGAACTTGTTATTGGGCTAAACAGTGGTCCAAGTAGATACATGTATCCATAAAAAACAGGTGTGAAGTAATGGGTGAACCATGGCTTGAATCCCTCCAGTGACTGGTGCTTAAATAAGTGATGGATACATACATCACATTCAATATTGTCATTTAATCTTTCTTTTCTGCAGAAAAGAGGACTGAAGTCTCACAACAACACCTTAGATGACCTTTGTGTAAGTACTAACTCCCACCTGTGACCCAGACTAACGCAGGCCTTTCCCTCAGCACGTTTTCTCTGTCATCCCATTTCCCTGAAGCATGCTCACACTCAGGTGGAGTGTGTCGTCGTGGGTGATGAGCAGGGCATAGCAGATACATTGCCCACTCAGGTACATGGTTCTGGCATTGGGTGTCTTACCTGAAAGCATCCTTTCCATTTTTCAGTGGAAACCTTCCCATTTCCTCTTTCCCCTTGAAAGTGCAAATAGGAGACAGAGCTTGAGACCACTGGGGGCTCTAGAGTCTGGGTTTGACATAGTAATGGGCACAGCTGGCCTGCAGATGGGGGATAAGGAGGAAATTAGAGGGAGAGCAGCATTTTAAAGAAGGCAATAGAGAAGGAAAGAAAAATCCCAAAATTCTATTCCAAGGTACGGGGAGAGCTTGACAGTTTTAAGCATCAATCAGAAGGAACAGGCTAGGTGAAACTGGCAGGTTAAGATTTAAACACTGTCATGGATCCTGCAGAGAAATGCACTTGGGGCTGGGGGTTCTTTATGGAAGCCCTACATCCAGTCTTTAGGGAATCATCATGGTGCTGAGCTGGTCACCATCTAGCAAATCAGGGCATTTTAACTCAATCTGGTACCTTGTGATTGGCTGCTTTGTGTGTGCGTGTGTGCTCAGTCACTCAGTCGTGTCCACCTCTGTGTGACCCTATAGACTGTAGACCACCAGGTTCCTCTGTCCATGGAATTCTCCAGGCAAGAATACTGGAGTGGGTATATCCTCCAGGGGATCTTCCCAACCCAGGGACGGAACCCGCATCTCTTGTACTGGCAGGCGGATTCTTTACCACTGAGCCACATGGAAAGCCCTTTTGATTCCTTTCACTGCAACAAAGTAGACATTTGCAGCAGAGTCACCTTTGCACAGCTCCAGGGGGCAGCACTCAGGTGGGATAGTATGCAGTATGCTGATGCACGGCATCCAATAGAGGAGGGATAGTCAAATAGCTTTACATATACTTTACCTCCAAAGTAATGCCCCCAACAAGATTTAGATCTTATTCACACTCTTTCTGACCCTTGGCCAACTGAAGGATTCTTCAGTCATCTAAACAGTGCTGGAGTCCAGTGTTTGTGTGGCTTGTTTGGGATGGACATCGGCAAAGAGGGTCAGGTCCCATAGCCCACAGCCAAGAGTCCACAGGGAAGAGGAAGCAACTGTTCCAGCAAGAGGACCTTCACTGCCGTGACTCAGTTTTCCTGGGACTGATTGTTGCTATTCAGTCACTCAGTTGTGTCCAGCTCTTTGTGACACCATGGACTGCAGCATGCCAGGCTTCCCTGTCCATCACCAACTTCCAGAGCTTGCTTAAACTCATGTCTATTGAGCCGGTGATGCCATCCAACCATCTCATCCTCCATTGTTCCCTTTTCCTCCTGCCCTCAATCTTTCCCAGCATCAGGGTCTTTTCCAGTGAGTCACTTCTTTGCATCAGGTGGCCAAAGTATTGGAGTTTCAGCTTCAGCATCAGTCCTTCTGATGAATATTCAGGGTTGATTTCCTTTAGGATTGACTGGTTTGATCTCCTTGCAGTCCAAGGGACTCTCAAGAGTCTTCTGCAACACCACAGTTCAGAAGCATCAGTTCTTCGATGCTCAGCCTTCTTTACAGTCCAACTCTCACATCCATACATGACTACTGGAAAAATCATAGTTTTGACAAGACGGACCTTTGTCAGCAAAGTGATGTCTCTGGGACTGATGTTAGAGGACAGTTCAGCATTGAGCTAAACCCCATGCCTTAATAACAGACTTTGCTTTGACGAATATTCAACTTAGACTGCAACTAAGACCTTTGGAAAATAGTATTGCTGGGATTCCAACCTAGAGGAAATTCTGTTTATCAGTCTAGGCTAAGACTTGGACATCAGGATTGTTTAAAGGTCCCCAGATGATTCTGATACACAAAATTACCCATTCTATGAATTAAAGAAGAAAACCAATGGCTCTGCCCCACCTGGACAAACTGATTCAGACTTCTGGCGTTGGGACCAGGACATTAGTATTTTACATACACTGCCCTGGAGGTTCTAATGTGCAGCTAGACTAGAACAAAGAGGTAGATAAATCTACTAAAAAATACACAAATGTGAGGTTCTTGGGGACTTCTCTGGTGACTCAGTAGTAAAGAATCCATCTGCCAATGTAGGAAATGCAGTAGATGTGGGTTCGATTCCTGGGTCAGGAAGATCCCCTGGAAAAGAAAATGGCAATCTAGTCCAGTCTTCTTGCCTAGCAAACTCTGTGGACAGAGGAACCTGGTGGGCTACAGTCCATGGGGTCACAAAGAGTTGGATATGACTGAGCAACTGAACATGCACGAGGTTCTTAGACATTGGTCATATCTGTTATTCCTTGTTCCTCTGGGGAGAGGGGTCATTACTTTCTGGGGAATGATGATGGCAATCTGTGAGTGTTTACCCTGAAGGGAAGAAACACGGTCCCATGGCTCCATGCCAGAGCAGTTTCAGTCCCCAGATGGGGATGTCCTTGAGGATGCCCCATAACATTGAATGGGAACTTTAGGCAAGATGGTCCTTGGGGCTAGCACTTCCTCATATACGGCCATCTCAAAAACAAAAGAAATGGCCAGAATCCCAATTCACCCAACACAAGTAGCTTCATGCAAAAGCCCAGAACAAGACTCAAAATAATTGTTAAAATAATCTTGTACTGCTTTCTATACTAAGAAGTTTAATCCACTTTATTAAGTTCTCAATATATCACTCTCCCAGCAGTCAATTTAATTATTGTGGTATAGGCAAACACATGTAACACTTTATTTTAGGACTTTATCTCTCATCTGTGAGGTAATAAATTCCTATCAAATTACCTTGTTTTGCTTCTAGTCTTTCAGTGTTAGACTCTCTGGTTTTACAGGGAAGATTTTTTTGGTCCGACATACCGGCTCTTCCTCGTCAGTTTCACTGCAGAGCACAGTTTCTTCTTCTGAAATGCCCACACCGTGCTGTTCTTTAATGTCTCCGGGAGAAGTGTGTGCGTCCATTCAGGTTCACACAAAGGCAGTGGGCTCTTGATTCCCAGGCTTCTGGCCTTCTGGGTTCTCACTGGGGATACAGATGTTGTTTTACCTTCTAGCTGGGAAACTCAGATGAGTGTGAGACCTGCCGGGATGGAGGAAAGCTGTTCTGCTGTGACACCTGTTCGAGGTCTTTTCACGAGGACTGTCACATCCCGCAGGTGGAAACTGAGAAGTACGTGAGATGGTGCCCCTCCCTTCTGACTGGGGACCTTCCCTCTGGCCGCGCCCACTCCCCCTGCCTAGTTCTTACTACGTCTGGATGGGGAACGAGCAGGCCCGTGGGTACAGGGTCCAGCAGCATGATGCAGAGAGCCGCTTCAAGATGTGGGCAGTGGCAGGTGGATGCTTTTTGCCACTCATATCCTCTAGGACTCTGAGGCTGGTAGCCAGGTCCTTTGTCCACATGTTTTCTGTCCTTTCCTAGAAGTTTTCCAACCTGGACTCCTGCTCACAGGGGTGGAAATGCACTTGTTTATTGTTGCTGTTGTTCAGCCACTCAGTCGTATCCGACTCTTTGCGACCCAGGCTTCCGTGTCCTTCACCATCTCCCAGAGTTTGCTCAAACTCATGTCCATTGAGTCAGTGATGCCATCCAACCATCTCATCATCTGTCACCCTCTTCTCCTCCTGCCCTCGGTCTTTCCCAGCATCAGGGTCTTTTCCAATGAGTTGGCTGTTCTGTGCTGATTCAGAAAACACAGGAAGCATAGGCTGGTTCCCTCATTTTGTCACGTTATTGATGGGCTGAGGGACCCCAGGGGTAAGGCCCAGTTTTGACACTCAGGCCGGGTGGACAGGATTCTTTGTGCTCCCAGAAGTGGACACAGAAAGGAGAGCCCCCTACTCACTCTGACACCAGCTCCACACGTTGTGATGGGGGTCATTGACTCAGACCCCATGTGGTGGTCTTGGAGACTCTGGAGGTACCCCCTTCCTCCCAGAACTGTGTCCACCAATGTTCCTGAAAGAAGGACGGTGGCAGACATGGGAGTGGCAGGTGTTTCTGGGGACCTTGTCCTCGCTCACTTGTGCCCGGCCCGTAGGAGCCCGTGGAGTTGCACCTTCTGCAGGATGACAGAGTCTTCAGGAAACCAGCAGGGTCTCCAGGAATCTGAGGTCCTGGCGAGGCCGATGCAGCCAGAGGAGCAGCTGGTGAGTCAGATGGGAACCCGAGCCCTCCCCTTCAAGTGTGAAAAGTCAAGCACAGGGTAGGGGGAGGCAACCACAGGGTGACCGTGACTCAGTCACACTCAAGTCACACCAGGACTTGTTTGCAGCCATTGTACGTGTGTGTCCAAGAGCCACCCCGCCTGGGGAAACTTCCAGAGACTGGTGTGTCATGCTTGGCCTGGGTATGTGTATGGGGCTCAATGTCTCCAAGCTGCTTTTTGTTCACAGCTTCCTTCTTTTGCAGAAATGTGAGTTCCTCCTCTTGAAGGTCTATTGCCATTCAGAGAGTACCTTTTTTGCGAGGATTCCATATTATTATTATGTAAGTAACCACAAGAGGGGCTTCCCAGGTGGTGCTAGTGGTAAAGAATCCACCTGCCAATGCAGGACACAGAGGAGATGTGGATTTGAGGAAATCCCCTGGAGTAGGAAAGGGCAATCCCCTCCAGTATTCTTGCCTGGAAAACCCCAAGGACAGGCGAGCCTGGCAGACTACAGTCCACGGGGCCACAAAGAATCAGACACAACCGAGTACACATAGATACATACTGATCCTAAGTAACCACAACCAACAGTAATCGCAGGCTGCCATTTGTTACCCCATCTGGAAAGTGGCACCTGTGATAGTCGAGGCCGGAATCCCATGGGAGCAAGAGAATGAGCTACTGTTATCGTTACCTTGTTGTGTTTCTACCAGATTTGATGGGAATCCATAGGAGGCACCCGATGAACTCTGCCAGTAATGCTCCCAGTGACTTTTGCTTTTCCCTAGATCAAAGAGGCTTCTAAAAACCTCAAGGAACCCATGTGGTTGGACAAGATCAAGAAGAGGCTGAATGAGCACGGCTACTCCCACGTGGAAGGGTTTGTGCAGGACATGCGTCTCATCTTTCAGAACCACAGGGCCTCTTACAAGGCAAGTGGCTCTCTCTCCTTCCTTTTCACTTTCTCTTCCTTTCTTAAAATTTTATTTTATTTGTTTTCGGCCGCACTGGGTCTTCGTTGCTGTGTAAGCGCTTTTTCTAGCTAAGGCAAGTGAGGGGCTACTCTCTAGTTGCCGCAGGTGGGCTTCTCATCGTGGGGGCTTCTGTTTTTGTGGAGCACAGGCTCTGGGTGCATGGGTTTCAGTACTTGGCCCACAGGGTTAGTTGCTCCACAGCAACATGAAAGGAAGGTCACTGAGCTAACACAGCCACCCTGTACTATTTGCACTATTACAAAGAACACAGATTACTTTTCTGACTCTCACTGAAATCAGCAACCTAGCCAAATAAGTAAGAGCTCTCAAGTGTGGTCATGATTTTCCATTTCTGTCCTGTAAATACGAAATAATCAGGCTAAGAAGCATAAGTTACTCTTTGCTGCAAGAGTTTTTAAGCATAACCTGGTTCACATAATTCAGGATGTCAAAGATAAGAGTTGATCGTCCTCAACTGCAGGGTGTCCAGTGATATTGATAATAAAGATCATTATTTTGTGTTCATTTTATTATTTTTTTTCCAGTTCAATGACTTTGGCCTAATGGGACTTAGACTGGAGGCAGAATTTGAGAAGAATTTCAAGGAAGTGTTTGCTCTTCAGGAAACAAATGAGGACAGTTGTCTGGAATAGTGGATGTTGTTGGAGTCCTGGAAATTCCCCTTTAGGCCAAATATCTCATTCCCCAGATGCATGAAACGTTGGCTGCTGATGTCACCCCTCCCCAGAGCACTGCCTTCAGCCAAGTGGAGCCAACTTCACCTGGAGGTTACACAGCCTTGGCCTGGGGGCCGGCCACTGGTCAACCCAACCTTCATGCTCTGTGCATCCTATGGGATCAGGCTGGAGCCTGTCTGAATACATCCATCCTTAGCTTTTTGCTTAATACTGTCCTGCTTCCCTCATCCCTTTCTAGCAAAGAAACACAAAATAAATTACTTAAGTAAAAGACTTTATCGCAGAGTCTGTTTCTAAGGAACTCAACTTAAGATCATGGTCTGACATGGAAGCAACCTAGATGCCCATCAGCAGACGAATGGATAGGGAATCTGTGGTACATATACACCATGGAATATTACTCAGCCATTAAAAAGAATTCATTTGAATCAGTTCTAATGAGATGGATGAAACTGGAGCCCATTATACAGAGTGAAGTAAGCCAGAAAGATAAAGACCAATACAGTATACTAACACATATATATAGAATTTAGAAAGATGGTAACAATAACCCTATATGCAAAACAGAAAAAGACACACAGATGTACAGAACAGACTTTTGGACTCTGTGGGAGAAGGCGAGGGTGGGATGTTTCGAGAGAACAGCATCGAAACATGTATATTATCTAGGGTGAAACAGATCCCCAGCCCAGGTTGGATGCATGAGACAAGTGCTCGGGCCTGGTGCACTGGGAAGACCCAGAGGGATCGGGTGGAGATGGAGGTGGGAGGGGGGATCGGGACGGGGAATCCATGTAAATCCATGGCTGATTCACGTCAGTGTATGACAAAAACCACTACAATATTGTAAAGTAATTAGCCTCCAACTAATAAAAAATAAAAAATAAAAAAAAAAGATCATGGTCTGAGCAAGCAGGCTAAGAATGGGCTCTGGAGTTGGATCACAGCCTGTCAGGTGGTCCATGGTGTGCTCTAATAGTGCAGTTGCTAAACATTCACTTGTAGGAAACTGGATGAGATAAAGGCAAAAGGTATACAGTGGGTGATATTCTTTGGCATTTACAAAAGGAGAAATGGTGACTAAAAAACTGGATTTTGGTGGCTATCATTAAGTGCCCTTAATATATTGAAAAGAGTAAATGGCAGGCTTAAATTTCTTCAGTTTAGTTCAGTTGCTCAGTCATGTCTGACTCTTTGCCACCCCATGGACTGTAGCACACCAGTCTTCCCTGTCCATCACCAGCTCCCAGAGTTTACTCAAACTCATGTCCATCGAGTCGGTGATGCCATCCAACCATCTCATCCTCTGTCGTCCCCTTCTCCTCCCACCTTCAATCTTTCCCAGCATCTCGATCTTTCCAGATGAGCCAGTTCTTCACATCAGGTTGCCAAAGTATTGGAGTTTCAGCTTCAACATCAGTCCTTCCAATGAACATTCAAGAATGATTTCCTTTAGGTGGACTGGTTGGATCTCCTTGCAGTCCAAGGGCCTCTCAAGAGTCTTCTCCAACACCACAGTTCAAAAGCATCAATTCTTCTGAGCTCAGCTTTCTTTATAGTCCAACTCTCACATCCATACATGACTACTGGAAAAACCAGTAGCTTTGACTGTACAGACCTTTGTTGGCAAAGTAATGTCTCTGCTTTTTAATATGCTGTCTAGGTTGGTCATGACTTTTCTTCCAAGGAGCAGCGTCTTTTAATTTCATGGCTGCAGTCACCATCTGCAATGATTTTGGAGCCCCCAAAATAGAGTCTTTCACTGTTTCCATTGTTTCCCCATTTATTTGCCGTGAAGTGATGGGACCAAATGCCATGATTTTAGTTTTCTGAATGTTGAGTTTTAAGCCAGGCTTTTCACTTTCCTCTTTCACTTTCATCTTCGCTTTCTGCCATAAGGGTGGTATCATCTGCATATCTGAGGTTATTGGTATTTCTCCTGCAATCTTGATTCCAGCTTGTGCTTCATCCAGCCTGGCATTTTGCATGATGCACTTTGCATATAATTTAAATAAGCAGGGTGACAATATACAGCCTTGATGTACTCCTTTTCCAATTTGGAACCAGTCTGTTGCTTGATGTCTAGTTCTAATTGCTGCTTCCTAATCTGCATACAGATTTCTCAGGAGGCAGGTCAGGTGGTCTGGTGTTCCCATCCCTTTAAGAATTTTCCATAGTTTGTTGTGATCTGCAGTCAAAGGCTTTGGCATAGTCAATAAAGCAGAAATAGATGTTTTTCTGGAACTCTCTTGCTTTTTCGATGATCCAGCAGATGTTGGCAATTTGATCTCTGGTTCCTCTGCCTTTTCTAAATCCAGCTTGAACATCTGGAAGTTCACAGTTCACGTACTGTTGAAGCCTGGCTTGGAGAATTTTGAGTTTACTTTGCTAGTGTGAGATGAGTGCAATTGTGCAGTAGTTTGAACATCCTTTGGCATTGCCTGTCTTTGGGATTAGAATGAAAAGTGACCTTTTCCATTCCTGTGGCCACTACTGAGTTTTCCAAATTTGCTGACATATTGAGTGCAGCACTTTCAAAGCATCATCTTTTAGGATTTGAAATAGCTCAACTGAAATTCCATCACCTCCACTAGCTTTGTAGTCATGCTTCCTAAGGCCCACTTGACTTCACATTCCAGGATGTCTGGCTCTAGGTGAGTGATCACTCGATTGTGGTTAACTCGGTCACTAAGATCTTTTTTGCATAGTTCTGTGTATTCTTGCCACTTCTCCCTAATATCTTCTATTTCTGTTAGGTCCATACCATTTCTGTCCTTTATTGTGCCCATCTTTCCATGAAATGTACTCTTGGTATTTCTAATTTTCTTGAAGAGATCTCTAGTCTTTCCCATTCTATTGTTTTCCTCTATTTCTTTGCATTGATCGCTGAGGAAGGCTTTCTTATATCTCCTTGCTATTCTTTGGAACTCTGCATTCAAATGGGTATATCTTTCCTTTTCTCCTTAGCAGTTAGCTTCTCTTCTTTTCATAGCTATTTGTAAGGCCTCCTCAGACAGCCATTTTGCCTTTTTGCATTTCATTTTCTTGGGGTGGTCTTGATCACTACCTCCTGTACAATGTCATGAACCTTCCTCCATAGTTCTTCAGGCACTCTGTCTATCAGATCTAATACCTTGAATCTGTTTGTCACTTCTACTGTATAATTGTAAGGGATTTGATTTAGGTCGTACATGAATGGTTTTCTCTACTTTCTTCAATTTAAGTCTGAATTTGGCAATAAGAAGTTCATGATCTGAGCCACAGTCAGCTCCCAGTCCTGTTTTTGCTGTCTGTATAGAGCTTCTCCATCTTTGGCTGCAAAGAATATAATCAATTTGATCTTGTTATTGACTATCTGGTGGTGTCCAAGTGTAGAGTTTTCTCTTGTGATGTGTTTGCTATGACCAGTGTATTCTCTTAGCAGAACTCTATTAGTCTTTGCCCTGCTTCATTTTGTGCTCCAAGGCCAAATTTGCCTGTTACTCCAGGTATCTCTTGACTTCCTACTTTTGTATTCCAGTCCCCAATAATGAAAAGGACAAAATCTCTTAATCGCCACCTGCAGCTGGAAGGCAGACAGTAAGGAAGTCCTGACACAGACTCTAATTTTAAGAATGGGAGAACATGGGGAAAGATTGAAGCCTAAATTTAAGATGGGCTCCTGTGCCAAAGGCAGAGCCCTAGTGAAAAAGGAGTGACCCCTGAATCAGAGTTGGGCTTCCCAGGTAGATGCAAGAGAGAACTTTGAACCTCAGGTCTCCCTGAACCCACGGCCCCTGCAGAAGAGTCCCTTTCCCCTGGTTGGAAGACAGACCCCCACCCTTCCCCCATCCTAATCTTGCTTGAATGAAAACTCTGCAGAGTCCTCCCAGCAGGACCCCACTGGGAAAGTCCTGGGTCCTCTTGCCAGCTGCAGCAAGAATTTACCCCATTGGAGCTGCAGGACTGGCCAACATGTTCAGCAGGTACCAGGAGTCTTGGGGTGACTCCTGGACAAAGAAGGGGAATATGAAACAGGAAAAGGAAAAATTGTTAATACAGAAGCACTCCTCTGTGCCACGATGTTTAATTACCCTGGCAAGGGCCAAAGGGGATTATTCAAGTATGTTCCCAGTAGCTCTTAAAGGCATACATATAAGTATATGTATATGTGTGTCACACACTTATGTGTATATATATATATGTATATATATACATATACACACAGACATATATATATATGCCTTTAAGGACCACCAGGAGTATATATATATATATATATATATATGTGTATGTGTGTGTGTGTGTGTGTGTGTGTATATGGTTAGAATGACAGCTGGAGCGCTGGCGCATAGATGTTTATGAAGATAGTTTTTTAGGACATGGTCATTAAACTTATTGTGGCAATCACTTTATGTATATAGTCAAACCATTATTTGTTTGTGTATATATATGTATATATATATATATTTATGTGTGTGTATATATATATATATTTATGTGTGTGTGTGTATATATATATATATATGTGTGTGTGTGTGTATATATATATATATATATAGCACTAATTTAACAAGGTAATAAGGAACATATAACTGAGGAGCACCAGCATGCCTGTGATGCTCTCTGGGGCTCTTCTCTGTAGGTTAGCATAAGGGAAGAATGTGTTTTCTTCCTTTCATTTTGTACTTCTATGAAATAATGGATGTTCACTAAACTTATCACGGTACACACTGAATGAAGTGGAAGCAGAGATACCAGATCTACCAGGAAAAGAAGATCCAAAAGCCTAGGAGGTTAGCACAGCTCTACTTCCTACAACTTGAAAACCCCCCCACCAGGTGCCTGTGCTTCTCAAGAGGCCTCACCGACACCAACTCAGCAAGGTGATGAGGAGCACACAGCTGAGGGGCACTAGCATCCTTGAGATGCTCAGGCTGTCCTCTAGTTCTGGTTGGCATAATGGAGGAATGTCTTACAGAACTGGATTCCCAAGTAGCAATGGAAGTGATAGGATTCCAGAATGATAGATATCTGGTGGCAGCAAGATGGCAAGTGTCAGAGCAAGATGAAACCCTATTTGTAACGTGCAATGAGGTCAGAATGACAGCGGGGGACCTGGCTCATAGATATCTATGAAGATAGTTAATAGGACTTGGCCACTATGATAATCACTTTATGATTACATCCATCAAATCATTAATGCTGTATGCCTTAAGCCTATAGATAGGTGGGCAGCCAACAGGATATTGCTATATATATATATATATATATATATATAGAAAGAGTTTTAA